TAGGGTTCAGCCTGTAGAAATGATGAACTTCACGAAAAAGGGGGTGAAGTGGAAGCCGAAGTCCACATTCGGTAAAAGCTACTATAGGAAAAGGCATTGTATGATCTGTGGGCATGATGGTATCATTATCCCCAGCTAGCTTAAGGTGAACATCGGCTGGGATAGAGAATTCCTGCCTAAAGTATTCAAGTTTTGTTGGGGTATTTACCCTATGCCTCCACATACCCATTATGTTAACTTAAAATGTGTTTCAGAGGATGGGCGTTTTAAGAAGGGTTGCAAGAACCTCGGCAAAGACCTAGGAAAGGGCTGATAAGGTTTGTTTCAATTTCCCCTAAATTGAAGGTTCTACACACAACTCCCAAGCCAAAGAACTATAAAGATCAAGATCGAAGGCACAGATCTAAACAAGAAAACAAAGGCGACGCTTCAGAATCAAAGAACAGAGGTATGATTTTCAGAAGCAAAAGAAATACAGAAGTAAAAAAAAATCAAGAACAGTGGCACAAAAAAGTGGTAAAATAATGCAAGTGTTCAAGATGTAGCCATGATTCAAGATACAAACAGATCCAAGGCTTTGCCAAGACTTTGAAAAAAAAAAAAAAAAACGATAATAGCAACAGGTAGACGGAAGCACATAGAAAGAATTAAGAATGAAAGGGAAGAATCTTACCAGAACAAATGAAGCCGGGGCAATGTTCGCCGAGCTCAGAAATCGGTTGCAACAGCAAAGAAAGCTTCGCAAGAATGAGAGATTAAGGACAGTTCCAGAAGAAAAGATCGAAGCAATGGCAGATTCGAAGAAGAAAGAACTTTCGGAGAGAGAAAGAGCAAGAAATCAAAATGAAAAAATGAAGGAAAAATAGAGACAAAGAAGAGTTTTGTCAAAAATTTGAAACGACGGCAAAATTAGGGCAATTATTATGCTTGGAGCAACGCAGGCGTCAGACGGCGCAGACAAATGACAGACAGCTTTCAGGCGCGTCACAGACACGCTCCAATGAAGACAAAACACGTGGAAAGGAACGGTTAGATATGCATGACAGCTCATGCGTGTGGAAAAGTACGATCGAAACCTTGTTCTCCGAAGAGAACACGTCGGCTGGAAGAGGATTATCTCGGCTAAACAGTTTTTGAGCCATTACTCAGAAAAGAAATGTTGAAATGTCGATATAGGTTCCATCACCTTAGAATGCCAAGGTAATAGAACCTAGGGGGCAGTTGTGGGGATATATTTTCTGAATACCAACACGTGGCATGGTGACGCCGACGTGTCAGCCGACGTGCCACGTGTCGTCATAGTTAAGCCGAGATGATCTCGGAGTTGCCGAGGTTATCCCCGATATCTCCGAAGATATCGGAATCCGAGATAAAGAGAATAAAGGACAAGAGTCCTAAGACGAAGAGGGGACTTAACCAAGATAAGGATAAAGCTCTTAGGGAGTTTATCTTTATCTCTTAAAGAGTCCAGAGTAAGCACTAAATTGGAGTTCATAGAAGTCATACTTCTAGTGGGATTTGGGTTGAGTATATTATAAAAGAGAGGCACCCCCGTGGGTCTAAGGTATGCAATTTATGTTTTGAGTATTAAGTTTTGCACTTGATTATCTTTGAGAGATATACTGACTTGATCGTCGGAGTGCCCCCGGGTGGAAGAACCACCGCCGGAGCCTTTTCTTTCTGTTTCAGGTTGCTGAATCCATCTATTCTGCCTGTGCTCTCCAGTTGATCACTAAGCAGGCAGTGTGGTCAGATTTTCACCCACACAAGAACTATAAGGGTCAATTTATATTTTGAGCAAACCTCAAGGGATGTATTTGTAACTTACTCTATTTTTTTTTGATAAATTGTAATTTTGACATAATTACATTAAACTCTTTTAAAATTTTAATTTATGTAATATTTGGTTCATTTTTATCAATAATGTGTTAGTTATATTGATAAAAAAAATGATATTATCATATCTTTTATATAAAAATGTATATTTTACATTATTTATTTTTGTATTTTCATTTTATTTGCATTAGTTTCGGTCTATATAAGTATACTACAAGTGAAGTTGACATAATTATGTTAAAAATATAAAATTTGTTGTATTCTTTCAGACCTCATAAAAGATCAGTGTAATTTACCCAATTAATTGATGATGTGAACAAATAGTATTCGAAAGCAAATTGTAATAAGATTATAAAAGTCAAGGCAAAAAATATATTTTCCAAAACGTGCAGGAGATATATGTATTAAAATCAAAACTCAAGAGATGCAGGTATAATTTATTTAGTTTTATACCAATATAATTAATGAATTATAGATTGAAATAGAGTTAAGTGAATTTAAAGTTAAGTGAATTTAAATTTTATAATATTTATAAACTTATAATCTAAATCATAAAAAAGATTGGGGAAATTACATATTAGTGGACAAAAAATTATTTATAAAACAATCATAATTTTTTTTAAAACTTTTTTGTAAATATTTTTTTGTCTTCCCATTTATGTGTAATTCCCCCAAAAAATTAGTCTAACTTATCTTATTCTAAAAATTCCTCATTTGACAACTTGAAATTATAGTTAAAAAGTAAAAAAATCAATATAAGTTATCACATCACTTTATTTATTTTTCTACATATCTTTTCGTAAAAAATTAAAAGTTTATAAAATAGCATGTTCGTTAGTATTTATAATTCTAATTTGATAATTTTGTATAAATTAGAGATTAAAATTAATAAGTCTGGGACGCTTGTCAATTTTTTTAAGATCTCAGATAGATATTTTCTTTTAAATTGAAGATTAAAATTAATAATTTTAGGATATTTGTTAAATTTTTAAGGAATAGAAGTAGGTAAAATTAATAAAAATTTAAACAAAATGATGAAAATTAAAACTATGAAAATTTACCTATAGATCTCATATTGAATAATGGTGATCCGATTAGTCTCAAGAGTTTTCCTATAAACCAATTAGCCCCATTGATTTTAGAAATGTGGATTTAATATATTATTTAAAAATTAAATTTATGGGTATACTCTTATTTCTGTTTTTTTAATTTTTTTTATGATATAAAAGTAAGATACACAACCTATGATAATTAAATTTGGGTTAAATTTTTATATGTGAATCTTTTTTATTTGGAATGGCTTAAAATGTAAGATTTTTCGAACATTTTAAATTGAGTACAAAAATAATTTGAAATATGAAATTCTTCAAACATTAAAAAAAGATATGAGATTATTTAAATATTTTAAAAGGAGTAGAAAAACTCCTTGGTAAGTTTTGAATAAGTGTATAATTTAATTTTGTAATACTTTAATGTAACACTCAAGCATGACACGCCAAAAAACTCCTTATTATATTTTTTTTCAAACGTAATATTCCAACTTAACAATGCAAAAATACTTCTTAATGTAACATTTCAATGTAACACATAAAAAAATTCCCTAATATACTTTTTCTAAACACAATATTCTAATGCAACACTTGAAAAAAAGATTTTGGGATTCTTAAAATCATTTCAAAAGAGTGTAGGATTTTTCAAATCATTCCAAAATAGTGTGAGATTTTTCAAACCATTCAAAAAATAGTATAAAAATTTCTTAAAAAGTTTTGGGTAAATGTATAATTTCAAACTTTGAGTGTTATGTTTGAAAAAAATACACTAATGATGCGTTTGGTTAGGGAATTTGAGGAGATATTTGAAAAGAAAAATGAAAAAGGTAAGTAAAATGTAAATAAGGCATACTTATATTTCATCTAGTTTCACACACTTTTTTTTTTTCCTTTCCAAATATTTTCCCAAACTCCCCAACCAAATGCAGCGTAAGTAGTTTTTTAGTGTTTTTATTAGGGCTGTTCAAAAATCCGTTCAAACTGGCAATCCGGACCGAACCAGACCGAATCGTACGGTTTGGTTCGGTTCTATTAAGAATTGGTTCGGTTTCGGATTAAGAAATATGAGAACTGTAAAAATGATTCGATTAATGGATTTTATGAAAAAATCACGGTTCGAACCGAACCGAAATGAATTTTAAAAGATATATATATATATATATATATATAATATCAAGTTTTATTTTTATTAATTGGTTTTTTATAATTTTAATGATATTAGGATGGTATAGATATGTAATATTAAGTAATGCCTTAATATTATTAGTTTTTATCATAAGTTAAATGTAATTAGTTTGAGTAATTATTTTGCTAATATTAACAATTTATTATTGTAAATAGAAATTTTTGGAACCGTAAACCAAACCGAAACGAACCGTTTTTTCGGTTTGGTTCTGGTCCGGTTTTACAAGTGTAATGGTCTGGTCTGGTTCTCAAATTCACAGAGCCGTTAGGATCAGTTCGGTTCTTGGATTTTCTCAGAACCGAACCAATCCGGAGCGTGTACACCCCTAATTTTTATATGTACTACATTGGAGTGTTATATTTGAGATTACATTGATTAGAGTGTTACGTTTGAGAAAAATATACTAAAGAATTTTTTTATATGTCACATTAGAATGCTACGTTATTAGAGTGTTCACGTTATTAGCGTGTTATGTTCTTATTCGTAATATGAGATTTGTTTCATAATGTGAAAAAATTCGCAACTTTTATAGTGCAAAATTGTTTAAATGTGTAATTTGGAGAAACCCATTTTTATTCATAAAAAAATTAAATCCAAATAGGTAAGTAACCACCATTTTATGTAATTTATACTTTAATAAGATTTTTGAGTACATAAAAAAAATGGTTTATAAAATTACATTTTAAAATTTATTAGTGCATCACCTTAAAACTAAACTGTATTTGTTTGGCATGTACTAAAAAAATATATTTTTTTACATATATACACTTATTTAGATTAAATTAATCAATATTTCCTTTCTACTTTTCTATTCATTTTTTCTATTTTTTTACGTATTTCTTTTTTAATAAAAAATCAAAAAAATACACTTATTTATCTCCAACCACCCCTTAATAAGATTTTTGAGTTCATAAAAAATTAAAGTGAAATTTAAGCGAATTCACATTTTCAGAGGAAGAGGCGAAGAAGAAGAAGAAGAAGAAGAAGAAGAAGAAGAAGAAGATGGGAAGTGAGCTTCGGAACCCTAAAAAGCAGCCACAACTAAACCCTAACTGGGCTCAGCTCTGCAAAGTACTCTTCTCTCTCTAAAACCCTCCACTTTCTCTCTCTAAAACTTTCTCTGATCCTTCAATTACGTGCTCTGCAGAAATTGAAAAGCCATGGCACTAAACCATATTCAAAGGCGACAGAAAAATCAGAATCAGAAACCCCAAAAAGTGTATTAGGTAAAGAAATTGCTTCATTGCCTCAGTTTTGTATGTATCTGCTAATAGCTTCCATGCTCTTCTTTGATTTTTGGCTGCTAAAATATTTTTTGTTACAGGAAAGCGCAAGGAGAGGTCTAATGCGGAGTCTGATGATTCTATGCCTAACCCTCTCGTTCCAACGTCCTCGGATTGCAGGTCCAAGAATATATATATATATATATAGTTCATTATTATTTGTTTGGTTACTGAGAAATTGTAGGAAAAAGAAATAATACAACTTTTAGATTTTGAGTCTTTAAATTTCAAAGTACTAAAGACCCTTGAATAAGATAAGATTCTTGTTTGGTTAAGCTCATTTCAATGATATGATATGGGTTTACTTCAACTTTAGCAGAAATAATATATAACGTGGTTATGAGGTAACCCTCTAAATCTAGCAAGCAAGTTCGGCTGGTTGCCTCAGCCCCCCAATTTTGAACAAAATTTAGGGCTCCCAACCAGGGTGTATTATTTCATAATTACCTGAATACTAGTTCACTCCATTTTTTTTTAATGTTGTTGTTCGGTGTTTTTTTTATTTATTTATTTGTGTCTGATTGATGTTTAATGTGAAAGTTTTCATTTTAGTTAAAAATAACTTAGAAAGTGTATGGCGAAAATAAATTTTTTTCTCACAAGCTAAATTTTATAAAATTTATTTTTACTAAATAAAATTATTCACAAAATGTTTGATTTCAACTCAATTGCATTTTTCTAATTAAAAAAACTATACATTATTAGTATGCATTTTTTACTAGATTGACTCTAAAATAGGTAGCAAAAAAAATACATATCTTAAATGAAAAAATATATTAGCCTTTAAATTATTATTTTACAAATTTTTTTATTTAAAAAATTGTCAATAGTATCTTTTAGTGAACATTAAAATATATAACTAATAATTCATGTTAGTGAGTCATGTTATATTTGGATTCATGTTGAAAAATGGTCAACCCTAACTTGTTAATTTTATATATTGATCGAGTTGTGTCAAAAATTATCATCCTAAGCCCCTATTAATTTTAGCTCTTATAGTATTGATAAGCTGAGAAATAAAGATTTGATTAAATAATTGAAGTTCAACTATTTTATATGTTTTTATTTTTATTTTTTTAAATCTAAATTTTGTTAAATCATAAAGCAATAGGATTATATTTTTATCCTTTTTAGTTCTTGTAATGGTTTTTCATGTCTTGGCATCGTTTTATCCAAATATATATATATATATATTTTTTTTGCATGATGATATATGAAGGGACCAATTTAAAAATTCGCCTCAGGCCCTAATAACTCAAGGTTGGCCCTGTCTATATGGTAATATGTTTGCTAACTGCTAAGTGCCGGTTTAGAGGTATGCAGGTTCATCTTTTGGTGAGTTTGATTGTATTCGATAGCCTTACATTTTGAGGTCATCCAAACAGTTCCTAAGGCTTTCTTGCGTGTTTACTGTAGTTACTTTTTCTCCTTGGTACGGTGTTTTGTTGGCAATCGAAGTACAAGGCAAGTTGTGAAATGTGTCTTTGAATTTATTCAAGAAAAGGAGGATTATAGTATGGACTATAGATATTGGCTATCTATACAGTGAAATGATATCAAATGATTAAAATCTCATGATTATTTTGATTTTTGATTGTTGAAGAATGTTAACCTGCTACCACGGATTACCCTTTTATTTTTGTTTTGTTTTTGAACGATTATTATGATTATTCATTTTGATTTGGTGTCTTTCAAGCTACTTAACTAGTCAATAATTGTTTGGCAGTGTGACAGATGCAATAGCCATGGATTGTGAAATGGTTGGTGTAAGCCCACTAGGAAATAAAAGCGCTCTTGGACGAGTTACACTGGTATTTATTAGTTTGATCTTTTTTCTTCTATTCATGTTTCTTGAGACATTGATTGTACTGGACAGATATCTGGGGTCAGTATCATGACCTTTAACTATCTTGTGCTGAGGCTTTCATGATTTTGACCTATGAATGTATGAGTTTGTATAGGAAACAAACCTAAATGGCTGATCCCTAGTAATTGATATCAAGGCTTGTTGAGTTGAAAATTGAACTGATTTTGGAAGAATAGCCTTACATATTTTCTTTCTGCTACATTTTATTTGTGAATAATGGAGATTGATGACAAGGCCAAGCTAGAGAGAGCCAAAACACTATCCAAGATTATTAACTGAGCATAATCTATATACCAATGAAATTTCAATGATGATCTACTACTTCGTCAGTTAACCTAAATGTGTAGCATCTTTGACTAGAAGTGGATAAACAAGGTGTTCAACTGTTTATTCTTCTTGTTACTTGTAAAAAATAGGTGGTCAACTATGAGGCTTCTCTTTTCTATGCTTAATGGATATCATCATCTTAAAACTGCCATTCTAGGGATTTTCCCAACCACTTAGAACTAAGAAACTCTCCTCCAACCTAGTAATTTCTTTAATTCAGTGACCTTAACAGTTTTCAAGCCATTAGAATAGGGTCGAAGGCCTTTTTGTTATTTGATTGATTGCTCCTAGGTATTCCTTTAAGTCTTGATTGTGCAATCATCAATGCAGCTAAATGTTTACAGTTTGAGATGTGGTTGTCCAATGGGATGAGAATGAGAGGAGTAAGGGGGGCAACTACTAATATCTAGTAGAATCTGTATGGTCCCTTTCTTCTTGTATTTTTTTTTCTCTTGATTTTGAGGACTAATTTCTGCATCAAGTTCTGACCAGTCACTCCACACTCCTCCCAATCTTCAATATGCAGCGGCGACGCCATGTGACACTGAGAGGGTTTGGCTGAACCCTGTGAACTTTGAATTTTTATTTTATTTTATCATATATATGATATTTTAGTTCCTTAGGTTAATAATAGATACCAGTGAACCCACTCAATTTTATAGGTTGAATCCTCTGTGATGCATGAGTATACATTCTCATTTGTTGGATAATTGGTGATTGGATGCTTTCAGATTATTTTGTTTGAGTTGAGGCATTGTTATGACTGTGTTCATAGCTTTTAGTTAAAAAAAAATTGTAAATAGAAATTACATATAAAAATATATATTTAGAATGATGTGTCAATGACATTTATAAAATTATAAGAATAATAATGAGTTAAAAATGAAAACAAATACAATAAATCACATTGTTTTATATAAAAATAGAAAAATGTTTGGGATACTAACACATTTACTAACAATCTTATTAACACACTCACAAGTTGATGTGGCTCCCATACTAAGTGATGGTTGATTGTACCAAAACTTGTGTGTTAGTAAGATTATTATTAAATATTAATAAATGTGTTAGTATCCCTAACATTGCTGATAGAAATAATGTTTAAAATTCTATTTGTATATCATTTTTAGTTTTGCTTTAATGGATATTGTCTTGGTGGTGGGAAAATAAGCACATATTTAATTTTTTTAATTTTATTTTAATTGCCCTATTACCTGCCAATTAGTCAAATTTGTTAGAATTTTTATATAAAATTATGGGGTTTCTTGTAATCTTTTTATGTTCTATCAAAACGGCTACCATTGTCTTTATAATTTTAAAAATATCATTGACACATTATTCTGAATGTGTTTTTAGTATAAAATTCTTATTTTGTAACTTATTTTCTTGTAGATGGCTTTGCACGGATCGAGTAAAGGGAAAAATTAAAATAGATACGGATCAACCTAAATATATTAAGCATAAAGACATTTTGTTCTTGAATGCTACTATTTTTTCTAATGTATACTTAGGACATTGATTAATAAAATTTAAAATAATTATATATTGTTTACAATAAATATTTATAAAAAATGTATAACAATTTCATACTTGCTAACTTATGGCATTCAACTAAGTAGCTTTGGTCGTTTGGTACGATACAAATGTAGAATAACATAACGATGTCGTTGCAAGTTTGACATAATGATTGAACCCGCTGAAATTATTTTCTGGAGTCGCCACTGTCAATATGACTTGCATCCATATGTCTTCATTCCTTGTTATGACTTTTCCACAGTATCTACTCTTACTCAAGAGTCCAGATTTCTTATTTAAATGCGGTGAAGGCGCACTTATCATACTCTTTTGGTGATAACATTTACCATCCATGAATATGCATCACAAGCATTTGATTGATTCTTCCATCCTTGCCAGTGATATTATGGTATTGATGCAGAGCATGAGAAACAAAAGAGGTGCAAATGTTTAGGGTTTACACAATTATATTTTAGGTCAATTTAAGTCTCTTATGTATTTTATTGGTTAGAATATTATTGGACAGATTTTATGATTTTTTATTAGTTTTTAGGTATCAAGGGTATCCAGTAATTTTACAAAATGATGTAACGGTCACCCATAGGTCATCTTGTTTGTCAAATTTTGTTATTGAATCTTATGTAAAGTATTTATTGAGTTTATAATATTCCAATAAGTCAAAGTTTATTAGTTATTTAATTTTGGAGCCCATAGTGTTAGTAGTATTGGGAAAACAAGAAACCTATAAATATGGATATAATCTTCTATTCATTGAAGTTGAGTTTTGGAGAATTGTGTCAAGATTTTGTGGTTTTATCTGAGTCTTTGTGCACCCTCCCTTGGGGGAATTCCTAGAGTCTCTTCCTCTATTCTTCTTCTACAGTCTCTATTCATAGACCCCAAAAGCACAATTTTCCAGCCCCAAAAGCTTACTTAATGACGCTAAAACAACCCTAAACCATTCCCCAACCTATTGGTCACCAATTTAATTGTTATAACCATAAAATAGCTCATTATTAAGCTTTCTAATTTCCTGCTCCTGTAAATCCTGTGATAAGCAAGTTTGAAAATCAAGCCAAATCTCACAGTCACACCTACTCATTTTCAAACCCTAGACTTGTATGAATTGTGACAATGCTTGGTTTATATGAATTTATTTTCTCTTTTATTTTATTTTATTTTTAAAAAAATTGAATGATATAACATCAATAAAGTAAGATTTGCATGGTGTGATTTTTGGATAAGCACTTCTTCAAGAGCTAAGGTCCTTTTTTGTTTGGTTTGGAACCAAGGCATTAAGATTTGAGACTTGATTTGTCGAATTCGCATAAATGTTTCAAGTGTTTTACATCACGTGTCGTGAAGCTACTAATAATTGGTTGTCTTTTCAAGTTTCTATGAATAATGGATTTGCATGGTGTGATTTTTGTGTAAGCACTTCTCCGAGGACTAGGTGAAAGGCATGTCCCTTTTTGTTTGTTTTGAGAGCAAGACGTGAACACCTTGTTCAATTAACATAAATGTTTCAAGTGTTGTACATTATGTGTTGGGTGCAGTCTTGTGAATTGTGATCATCTAATAATAACCTATATTTGTATTGTTCTAGGTTTAGAAATGGATGGTGCTTTAACTTGTGACCATCGTGATGCAATATTTTTACACCAGTTCAATCCAATGATGTGTTGTTATTGCTGATCAATTAAAGGTTTTACTTGAATTGGTTTTCCTGCCATTTGGCAACCTCATAGTTCATGTTTCAATTTAATTCAGTTTATGGTTGTGGGTACACCAGATGTGTGGTTTTGAGTTTATCATTACCTCTTTAATTTGCATTTCATTTTTTATCGAATATAATTCAGTTTATGGCAGGTTAATAAGTGTGGAAATGTCATATATGATGAGTATGTTCGCCCAGTAGACCGCGTTGTTGACTTCCGAACAGAAATTAGTGGCATCCGACCTCGAGATTTAAGGAAAGGTTGAAAGTATCTTTATTTTTCTTTTCCTCCACCCCTCCCTCTCTCTCAATGGAAGGAAAAAAAAAATGGCTTCACTTGCTCATCTTTAAAATTTTAAATTATGTTCAGCTGTTCAATAAGTGATAGTAAAGGTGAAATATAATGTTGTTCTCTTTTGGGAATTGCTTTATTTGTTTTCCTTTTTGATTATTAATGTTTAATAAACCTGCCATTTATATCATGTTCAAAAAAATATCTTCTCTGCATTGTGATTGTGCTGGCATGAGAAAGTTCGTATGTGATGACTTCTATAACTCTAGGCTATGGGAAAGAAAACTCTGGGTCCTAGTTTCATAAAATCTATTTGGATTAATGATGCTTTACTGTGCACGGTAGTTCTGATGTGCAGATATTTCTACTTTCAGTATCCAAATGCCGTGTAGTGAAAATGACATTCATATAGTTATTTTGAATCAAACCTATCTGCTGTATGAAGTTGTTGTCAGTCCCCATGTATTTACTCTCTGTATATCTCTCACTTCCAGCCAATCCTAATTTGTAACATTCCAAACATTAATCTTCCATTATGACAAATTGATATGCACCCCATATGCAACAGTTGATCTGAATAAATCTTCAGTGCAATTCACTGAAGATTCATCTTCCTTGATCAGTATGCATATCTAGTGAAATGAAACCCAATGTTATCTGTCATCAGGATGAAAACTTAGCAAAAAAAAATTAGAGACTGCAGTTACAGTGAACAGACCTGATGGCAATATTTCATTGCATGGGAAGGATTGGTAATTTGAAGAAAACTTCACTCTCCTGCTGCATCTGCATTTAGGAATTTACCGAGGTTGTCAATTTGACTATGGCATTTAATGCTGCAACATATCTAGCTTTTGGGCCTCCTTTGTTTTGTTTTTGTAGTTTTTGTTCTTATTTTTAAATAAAAAGATAAATTAGTGTACGGGGTTTTAATTGTTTAGGTCTTTATAGCTTTTTAAGCTTGGGATGTCATAACAATTTTGGTAGAAGGTAAATGAACAATAGTTTGCATGAGTTTTTATAACTGATTAAATATTTGTTATTGTATAAGTAGTATGATCGTTTAATTTTTATAATTATGATGTGTTGAATGTTAATTTCTATATTTAGTTAGACGAAATTAATTTTTCAAATATAGTTGATAGTAAAGGGGTTAGGCTTTGGACATTTGAAATAGGCTGCTTCTTTGGAAGATATTAATTAATAGTTATTTTTTGAAAAGTACTAGCTATAAGAAGTTGTGTTCAAAATTACAGTGACAGTTGTGTGACATCTTATGCATGTTTATGATGTTATCTACAGCTAAAGAGTTCCGCCTTGTTCAGAAGAAAGTGGCCGAGTTGATCAAGGGAAGGATTCTTGTTGGCCATGCCTTGCGCAACGATCTTAGGGTTAGTATATCTGGTTTCTCAATTTTGTCCTGTGAAATAGTCACCCTTATTGTTTGCTTCTATTAAATAAAAAGTTACCTGAGTGTTTGGAGTGGATTTTCTTTACAGGCATTGCTATTAAGTCATTCAAAGAAGGATCTGCGGGATACCTCAGAATATCAACCCTTTCTAAAGTGCGTTTTCACTCCTTGGCTAAATTATAACTTCCATTTCCTTTTTGTTAATTCAGCATTCTTATTAACATGTGGTTGATGAAGTAGGGAAGGCCGGAGTAAGGCACTTCGTCATCTTGCAGCTGAGTTTCTTGGTGTGAAGATACAAAATGGAGAGCATTGCCCTGTTAGTTCCTCGTCTTTGTGGCGGTGTTTGTTTTCTTAATTTCAATATGAACATTATTATCCTTTTCTCCATTTGTTAAAACATTTACAGCAGCATATAGATGCGATGAGGCCGCATTTGGTTGGGTTGAGCCAAATTCAGTGTGATGTGTCTGATTCATTATCGCTTTCCTTTTCATATATTTTTTTATTGAAACATAAAGCTACTCTGGAATACGTTACTGATTATTTTGTTTCAGGTAGAAGATGCCCGTGCTGCGATGCTTCTTTATCAGAAATACAAGAAAGAATGGGAGAAAAGCATCAAAGATTTCATCAGGCTCAAGGAAAAGCAGAAGAAACGGAAACAGAAGAAGAAACCCAAGGAGGGAGAAGCTGTAAATTTAAACCATCCCAAAACTGTATCTTAGCATCAATTGCCTATTGGAAGCTACAGTAATGCTTCAGAAGCAGCCTAACCATATCAAATGCTTCATGAAAACACATTCAAATAGTTCTTGTGATCGAGCAAAACAAAAAGGAAGAACGGAGAAGAGAGAACACAATTCGCAATTCCTTTTGCTTCTCTGGCCGCTGAATCTTTTGTTGGATTTTTTGTTCTATTTTACTAGAAGTATGAATTGGATTTGTATTGATACTGATCTTGTAAGCCGATTGTACTGTAAAGAAAATTCTTATTTTATCGTCACTGGGGAAACTTTTATCCGATCCTCAGTAATTTTGCCCCCCTTATATTGGCATTTGAGAAGACTTGTGCTCTGTTTGTCACTCTTCTACATTAAAATAGCCAGAACCAAAGAGTGATTCCTTGTAAAACAGATTTTATAGGGCAAATGATCATTTATACTTTGTTCCAAGTGTAATCTTCTTTCAAATTTTTAAGTCTTCTATTTAAGCTGCCAAGGAAGATGAGAAAAAAATTCATTGTAGTATAAAGAAAATATATTTATAATGAACACATCTTGATTTCAAATAATACAAACGGAGTCTAAAATGTATTCACACAATTCAATTCTTATGCTTTGAAGAACATAAGAGGTGACCATAGAAAGACGACACATTGGAGAAATGATCAGCTCCCATGGGAGATCTATGAAAGAAGAAGATCAACTTGTTCAAAGTAAGAAAGGAAATAAGTAAATAAAAATCAAGGGTGCTAAGGATGAATACAAGAGAATGCGGCGAAAACTTGCGTTGATCTCAATATAGGAAGGGGAAAATGATGCACTCGATCTCAACGCAAAGGATTATCTAAAAGCCCTAAATCGTTCAAACACGTTCTTCTCCATTCCCGATTTCATGATAATGCGAATGAAAAGAACTTTGATTGTAATGTGGAGGACGTTTCCACTAATGATGAAGAGGTGCCCAGTGTTGAAAAAGCAAAGGAAAATATAGAGGCAACAGCAGATGGGAAAGGAAAAATTCCTAAAGACTTCCCCTAGTCTCCTAAAGTAGGTCAGGAGCCATGGAAAAAATACCCATTGACAAAATAAAAAAATCTATGGGGTTTGCAAAACTTTGAAGCTCTAAATATTGGCCATGGCTTCATAATGAAATTTGATATGATGGAGGACTACTCTAGACTAGAGTCTACTATGTCACTGCTCGAAAATAGAATAGAAGAATACCACTGGAATTTGAGTGTGATTTCTTAATCTACCAATAGAGTACTACTACAATTGGATAGTATTCTTAAAATTTGGCATGTAACTTAAAATTTGCACTTCAATTTATGTATTATGATATCATTTTATTTCATTGGAATGGAGGTCAGTGTAATTTCAGAAAAATTAGAGATCAATGTAATTGTCAAATACCTTAGGGAGGTATGTGTAATTAACCCATAAAGGTATTATTGTTCAAAAAATTCGGTAAGTGTAATATGTGTTTCACACGTGAATTGATTCTGTTTAAATATTTGACAGAATCCTAAAAGAATGTGCTAAGTGTAATAAAATAATATATTAAAGTAGTTCACTATTGAATTTTAAAATTCAAGAGCCAAAGTACAAATCAATCATAGTTTAAGGAAAGGGGGCGGTGCTGTGACAACACCGTGTTGTCACAACAAACAATGCCATTTGCAATATATATATATAGGAAAATGATTTTTTTCCCGAATTTTGTCTCCCCTAATCCCTCGAATGCCCAAAACGATGTCGTTTTGGGCATTCTTTTTTTTTTTTCCTTCTTCTTCTTCTTCATGCAGGTGCAGGTCTGAGACAGAGGGAGAGGGAAAGGGAGAGAAAGAGGGAGAGGGAGAGGGAGAGAGAGAGAGAGAGAAGAAGAGAGAAGAAGAGAAAAAGGAGAGGAAGAGGGAATGGAAAGAAGAGAGGGCCCCTCCGCTTCTGCAGCTCGCAGATCGTCGCAGCTCGCAGCTCGTCGGCTGATCGTCTCCGCCCCGCCTCTGCCTCCGCCTCTGCCTCCACCCCCTGCCCAGCCCGGTTGATGTTGGCCCCTCCAGTCCAGTCCTTCTTCTTCTTCTTCTTCCTTTTTCGAATTCGGGGGATTCGGGGGGCGGGGGCTTTCGAGCTCCCTAGCATGACTCATAGATATATATATAAAAATATATATATATATATATATATTTACTTTGTGCAATTTGTTTTCAATTTTCTTTTGACTTTGTGTGATCATTAAATCAAATAATATTTTTTTGATAATACCATAAATATATTTCAATTAATGATTATCATAATTTTATTATTATATAATAGTTATGTTTTTTTTTTTGTGTGTTAATTATGATAAATACAAAATTCTGATAAAAGGATATTTGTAATTTCCAAAACTACTTGGGGTAAAACATGTTTTATGCAAACCACATGAAGTGCATTTGTAATAATTTTTAAAGTCCAAAAGAAGATAATAGATACAAATTTACATCGTTTTTGTTTTATCATTACATTCAAGTTATTTTATTCAAACTTGTAATGTGTTTTATATGCGTTTAAGTGTTAAAAAGTGTACGTTGAGTGTCATGTCATATCAGTATCGGACATGACACGTTACCTTCTTAAAAGTATCCCTGCTTCTTAACATATTAATATGGCTTCATTATATACTTGCATTTACAAATTCTAGAATTTTATCCACAGCACAAGCATAATTGGTCGAAGATTCAGTTAATTTATCACTACAGTACTGTATGAGAGGGTTCAAGAATGTCGTTGGAAAATTCGAAGATCTTCTAAGATCCTTGAGAAAAATTCGAATTCTCTAGAAAATGATGAGAGGCTTAGATTCTTCAATAGTCATAACTAAGAACACAAAAGCAAAGAGCTGATGGAGATAAGAGATTGGGTGAAGAACAAGGCAAAATAGTTAGAGAGAGAATAATGGCAAGACTCTCCCATGGATCTCCCACTTTCACTCTCAAGATTGATAATGGAAAAGGAAAATTAGTTCTTTCCCAAGAGTTGTCTCTAAAAAATCCATCCCTTGTAAAGTTATGGGTTGGCACTATTTATAGGCACCTCATGATGTAGGATGGAGCCCATGCGCAAGGCATATGGAAATATTCTCTCTAATCACCTTGTTTGAGGAGGTGACCTCTCCGAGGATGAGAAAAATCCCGAAGAGGAGATCAATCTCTCGGCGAGCCCTTCTTCTTAACTACACCTAACCGATGATCTCCAATCATCCCAAAGGGTCAAGGGTAGTCCCAGAGGACGCCTTGCTATAGAAGGGTTAGGGGTAGTTCAAGAGAACGCCCTGCCGCAAATATTGCCGAGTCTCAGGGACCCCCTAGATCATGCCACCTCGACCCGGTTATAGGCTAGTTTAACTGAAGAGTAAATTTATCTCCACTCACCGTCCTCGGGATCGAATCCTTTGTTCGGACTCTATTATGCCCATGGTTCTAGTACGTAGATCCCGGAAAGCTCCAAGTTCGCAAGTGTTCCGGGACTCATTAATGGTGCGGCTTCTAGATTGCGTTTGAATTCGTTTGAAGCCAAGTGCTTCGGATCTCTAGGTTCGTGGATCCGAACCCTTTTGAGTCTGATCCCGAGTAAGTCTCTAAGTTCGTAGATCTGAACCCTTTTAAGGCTTAGAGAGATTCGGCCCGTTTGATGGCGATAAATTCGGGTCCACCAATCTTGGACTTGCGATAAATTCGGGCCCACCAACCTTGGACTATTGGACCCAATTAATTTTGTAGGCTCAAATTAACTCCTCTTACAAGTACACACAAGTAAAAGGAAAAACAGACACAAAAGCATGTTTCTTCAACCGGCATTGTCCTCCACCTATAGTAAGAAAACTACTACAAATTGGGAAGCACACTAAATTCTAATGAAATCAATGTTCTTTCTTGAGTCGAAGAAAGTTGAAGAACAATTTAATTAGTCACATTCAGCTTGGAAAGTTCTAGAGTCGAAGAGAGTTCAAAAAAAGGAAAGGGATTATCATCACCACATATGGTTAACTAAGGAAGATTTAGAGCCATATGATGCACTCAACCTCTTGAGGCAGCAAAAATTTTGAGACAATATCAATTTTATTTGCTTTTTCTTCTTTTAACCCCGAGATCTTAAACTATTTGAATAAAATATAATTTTTATGCAAAATTGGCCAGAAACAATCATACATTTCAAACTGATATGGTTCATATCACTAGTAAGTTTGCTGAAATTAAATCAGAAGTGATTAATCAAATGCATGAAAATAAGCACCACTTAAAGTTAAGTGATTGCTTGAAAATGCAAAACTAAACAAAACAAATGGTAAAGATGCTTAAATTAGATTGGCATTAGCGAGCATAGGTAAAGAGCAGAACGAAATAGCAGCTGTGAGAGAAAAGACGAAACAAGAGCAGAACGAAAACCACGACCATAGCCTTCCACCGAAGTTCTCTTATGCCATAGAGTGAACCAGAGTTCAGGTAAAGAGCTCTTTCTCTTCTACATCTCTCAGGTTCGCAGCTGTGAAAGCTTTTGTTTGCTAGTACTGAGTTGCCGCCCACCTATTCAACAAAATGCCTCAGTGAAAACGCTGCTTCTAGCTGTCATAAGATGATTAAGGGGAGAGAGAGAGAGAGAAAGAAAGGGGCAAAGAGAGGGACAGAGAGGTAGCAAGCTATCATTGAAGAAGGGCAAACTAGCCAGGAGCAAATTAGCCAAGAGTAAATCAAAAAGCAAAGCTTCCAAGTGCAAATCAACCAAGGTATCTTGAAGAAGATTGATAATCAGGTGGATGCTCAACTATCTACCGATGAGATGCCTACTGTACTCCCCCGCCGGTCTACACGTATCTGAGGACCCCCAAAATCTCTCTTATATGGAGATTTTGTGGGACCATGGCAAGGGCCCTCAAATGGAAACAAAAGGGGATTAAGGGATGTAGAATTGGAGGATAGCTCAATCGAGTGTGATTGTGTCGATCTATGTTTGTGTGGAAATCTTGGTACACCACGGTTGTGATTGATTGTGGAAATGCAAGTCTCAACTGAGTAATCATCAAAGTAGCATCAAACACCTAATGCATGGAACACACCAACTAGAGTGCTATATGATCTTGGGCAATGGCCAAAACTGGCCATTGTGTCCCCACTGGCGGCAAACGAAATGATAATGTCAAATAAACTTGACTCACTTAATGTTGATCAAAGAAGAGAAGTAATGGGCACCAAGCAATGGAAGAGTATTGAAAATGTGCGAGCTTGTAGCAAGGATTTGGTTGAACTACATATGGAAGACACATAATCTGGCGAGGGTGAATATCTTGATGGTGATACACCTGCTGTATCAGGTAAGCCTCTGCAAGCTTTGAGCTCTTTAGTTAAAGAAGAGATTAACAAGGTGTCAAAAATAAAGTATAAAATAGGTTCCCATAAGATTGAGAACCTGGTAGA